AAAAAAAAAAAAAAAAAAAAAGGTTATTGTCCAGTTCAAAAAGCTTTAAAATTGGTCAATAGGTCAAAGTAGCTGGTGAATTGGAATTACCCAAGAAGTGCGAATGCTAACAGTTCTTCAATCAAAAAACTTTCTGTTGGAAAACTTGTTTGATAGAAAGCCGTAATTGTTCCTGTAAAAAAAAGAAGGAAAAAAAAATTGAAATCTAACATATATCAGCAGATTGATAAACTTAAAATTATTTTATAATCCACTGTTTTCCGTTACTCTTACACAGTTACAGTCAAAAACATCAGATGAGTCATTGCCAGTAGGAGAAATTTTTTTAGTTACGGTTGAAAATGTTGGTACGGAATTCAAACGAAAAGAAAAAAGTAACAGTTTACGACGATTACCACTTTGTTCTGCTGTAACGAAGAAATTTGCGAAACGAAATACAATTGCGCTACATGTGGCTGCCAAAAAGCTTCGCCAATAATTTTTCACAGCAAAATATTTTGAGGTTGATTCTATGGCATATAAAACAGCTGAAAAATAATAAATCCTCAGCATAAACATATGTAACATTTCCTAACACTTTTTATTTCTTACCCTTTTCATAAATTTGCCAAAAAGAAAAAAAAATTTGTAGTGAAAACTTTACAAACCTAAAATAATAGTTTTTTGAATTTAGTTTAAACTTTAATCAGTTTCTCTTCAGTTCTTAATGATACTTGATTATACAGTTGAAAAAAAAAAACAAAAAAAAAAAAAAGAATAATATTTCCAGTTTAGAAACCTCCAATTGGTGCCGAAAATGTACAGGCAATACCAACAGCACAACCCGATGACAACAGTTCAGTTTCACGACCTTCGTTTGAAAAAAATGCTGAATACTGACACGAATGTGTCAGTTTGCTTAACAGCGTTGCAACAATTGCTCCAATATGCACAAATGGACCCTAAACTTATCCAATTTTACTAAATACAGTTTAAAATGCCATCATTCAAACGAGCACAGAGAGCATCGGTGTTTTCTTTACCTCTTTACCAATTGGTAAACCGCTACCCATTGCCAGTGTCAAACCCGTCATCTTTGCTGCCAATGTCTTTACTGTTAGATAGTTCTTCATTTTCATGCCATGCATAATTACCTTTACTTCCGGAATACCAGAACCTGAAAGATTGTTGTGGATGAAGAACGACGATCATTGTAATACCATCCTTTTTTCTGTTGATTTTTTGTTTTTCAAAATGAAAATAATACCGTTGCCTAAAAATTTTGC